ACATGGTCCAGTTCTAATATCAGCGACTCGTGGAATGTGATTATCCACACAAGTAGGCCTTATTCTGCAGCAGGAGGCCAGAGGCTTGCTTTTGTCCTGGTAACGCTTTCTCAGGGCCAATCCTCTGCTCGCCCAGTAATCACTGCAGGCTTTGCTGGGCTTTTGTGTGGTGGCTTTGCTTGGTTGCTGATTAGTGTTGTGGGAGACCGGGGGCCGATAATGAGACTGTCGAGTGGCTCCGCTGGACACTGGCCCCCTCTGATAAAAGCATCCGGGAGGCTCCAGTGCCATTGGGTGTGTGATGCGCTCTGAAGAGGGTTGAAACCAAAGTTAACTTGCCCCTTTGACGACGTGGCTACCTCCTGCGGTGATGTGTCAACACGCAGCCTCTGAAACATGCTGCTGGGCTTTGTGTGCCACAGCCAAACCAGCTGGTGTTTAATAACCAGCCAGGGGAGTCTCTGCTGGTGGCCATTATTGTCTTGACATGCAGTGACACCAAATTTTAACCAGAGCAGCAAAGTAACTGTTTGATCCAGCAGCCACAGTGGCCGATAAGCCTCCCAAAGTCCACTTCAGAGTAGCAGCTACACATAATGGCTGCTCACACAGGCTGGTGGATCGACTTCAATAACATAAAGTCATTGGATTTTATGTGGCCTCGAGTATTTTTGTTCTTTATGTTTCTCTAAAGGTTTTCGAGTTGTGGTGGAGAACATTTTTATGTAAACAAACTTATTATTATTATTATTATTATTATTATTATTATTATTATTAATGAAGATTAGCTTTATGTCCACTTTAAAGTAAACTCTGTAACCTCAGAAATGGCCCAGATGCTAAATTGTCATTAAGGTTATTGTCAGGTGAATTCTGTGGTACATGTGATAGATGGCAACTTCACACTGATGGTTTGAGACCTGATGGTAATGAAGAACTCTCTGAACTTGCATTGTTTCTAATGGCCAGCTGGGGCGACTCCTGTGGCTGGGAAAAGACTCAAGGTAGTCTATTGGGAAAATAGCCCCAGGCTTTTTTAAATCACCATTACACTTTCGATGTCTGCAAATCCACTATGGTCTGCTTGGGTCCCAGTGACGTAATTTGCCATCTGGTGGTTAGCATGAGAGTTCATCATGACGTTCATGTTCTTGCCTGTTTTTTGTGACCACATGAAGCTCCCAGGCTTCTGACTTCAAGCAGACTTTAAAGACATATAACAAGAATGACTGCTCAGCCGTCCAGAGTCAGAACCTGCCCCCCGTGATGGAAACGGCTGTTTTTCTCAAAAATACATTTACTCCTTATTGAGTAAGTTATTCCTTGTAAGCACGAACTATAATAAAAAAGAACCCACTGAGGTTGCAGAGGCTGTGGGACATAGCCAGAGCAACCGGTGGTACAATCGTGAAACAAAAAGAAGGACTTAAAACAAACTAGTGAAAATCACGTATCCTAAACAGACAAAATAAAAAACAGATCATTTGAAGTTCATCTACTCATGTAGTAGTAAGCTAATGGTATGATTGCAGTTCTGGCTGGATTTTAACCAGAGCGACACAAATCTGCTTGAAACTGTCAGTAACAAGTTTTACTCAAATTTTTCTACCAGTTATTTTGGGCTTGACAAATTAGTGCAGATTTTGGTGGATAATGTATGATTTACCTATTTAAATATAACATTTTGTGGCATCTTTCCTTGACGTATTGGTGAATGTATAAATTACCAGGTCCTCGTGATTCTGCATGTATGTCTGTCCCAGTAAAATGCTCTTATTCTGATTCCAGCCATGTCGCAGTCATTTGTCTTTTTTTCTTCTGAAATTACCTCTCGGTTTGTGGAGCAGCAGCAGGAGCAGGTCGCTAAAGTTTTGTCCAACTAATAGAAAAGTTACTGTCCTCCTTCTGGGATCTGAGTCAACTAGTCGCTGAACTAATTGAAGCGATGTGGAGAGAGACGTTTGGTTGTTTAGCGCGCTTGTAATCCCTGCATTAATACAGTGGACGCAGCGCGTTTTAAGGATTTAAAGCGTAATCCTTTGTTGGCTTTTGTCCGGCGCAGACTGGAAGTCTATACACTTTCAGATCATTGTTAATTAAGGAGATTGACAGGTGTCCACTTGTAATTCTCTCTTTTGAATCATCGCTGGTGATGGGGGGGGAGGCCAGAGGGTTGTGGAGTTATAATTGGAGCCCAACTGGGTGGTCCACTTAAAGTTTGTTGGTGGAGGAGATAATCAAACATGAAAACTGAATGACAAAAACAAAATAAGAATGTGTCAGCAGCAGTCTGCCTGCTTGCTGCTAATTGTGTGTTTTACTGCTTTTTGCTGTGGTCAGCAGAGAACGGCTGCAGGATTTCCCACTTGCCTTTAGTTGATCAGGTGATTCTGATTAATTTGTTTGTTTTTTTATCTGCATCAGTTGGCTGGAGATCTTATCAGCATCCCAAACTCAGGATTTCTATCTGATTGCCAGACGTCCCCCAGTATTGTCAGGCAGATTTTATTTATTCTACTAATCCAACAGGAAGTTTTCAGTGGCCGATTATTGTCCTGTTGTGATCCTAAAGTGGGTACTAACATGTCTGGAGTTCAAATTAGTGTCATTTTAAACATTTGAGGTGCTTTGAAGTTAAAATTTAAACACAATAATTCAAACTAGCAAAAAGAGTCTGGTTTGGTGCTGCTCAGAGCTTTGCAGACCCACATCTATATGTTGGAAAAATATGTGCAGAAGATGGTAACGCCAGCTACTCGCATGTAGCTTTGCCCCAGTGCAGTGTCATAATCTTTTTTGCAATGTTTGATTTTTGAGTGTTTTCCTCTTTGTCTTTATCTCCGCTGATTCACTTCTCCTGTATTTTTCAAGCCAACCTTTGAACCAATGACCGTGTCAATACTTTGAGGCTACATTCTCTTGGCTTTTTGAAGCCTCTCCATTGGCCTTATTCCCATAATTCCTCACTCTGTTTAGCCAAAGAGCTACAGAAACTGATGCTAATGTCCACGTAAGATTTTAAGTTAATCTCTCCATCACACTGTGATTGACTCGGCGGTGTTTTAAACTACATGCTGATGTCAGCATGTTAGTGTGGTCACAGTGACGGCACTATTGAATGCTGACATTGGCTAATTAGCATTAAAACTAAACCTATAGAAGATATTGGAGAGAATGCCTTCTGCTTATGAGACCTTATGACTGGACTTGGTCTTTCAGGTCATCTGAAAATTGAGGTCGACTTGTCATGTGGTTTGTATTGCTGAAAACTAATTTTAATAGGTTCACTTTTCCTTCGTCTTTCTCGGTTGTCTTTGTCTTTGTTTACATCTTATATGTGTATAAAAGTGTGTTTGTTGGATGGTGTGACTCTGCGTCTGTATGCTGGAACATGTCTACTTAATGTGTGGTTTGAATCTAACTGTGAAGCCCTTTGTAAATGTGTTTTCAAAAGTGTTTACAAGTTGTTGTTGTTGTTATGAATATTATTATTGCTATTGTTATTACTGTTATGTCGTAAACCAGAGAAACCTATTACTGTCTAGTTTGTTATATGTAACTTGTACCAAGAAGTGTAAAGAGGACTAAAGGAAAACAGTTTAAGACATAGTTGCCATCACACATTTTATTTCCTTTTAAATTAGCCTCAATAAAGCCCAAAAATGAAATGTACTGCTGTTAGGGGATAAACTGCATCACTTTCATAGCTCGGAGTGTTTCAGGGGTTCTACAGAGAAAACATGCACCAAAAATGTCAGGGTCCACCAACATCCTCCTCCAACAGATCCTCACTTTGCTCCTGGATGTGTGAAGTATTACCAGTAGCTCAGGTTTTTGTCACCCACCAATGAGGTTTTAGCCAAATTCATATCAACAACGTTGTATCAAACCCATACGATTTTAAGTTTTAGCATCATTTATTCAAATGCAGTAGGTATTTTGTGCTGATTGCATGCTCAGAAAAACAGGAAGGCTTCTTTCAAACAAGGTTAACACAGGTTCGCCGTCTTTACGATGCAGACTGAGCATGTCAAATTATTAATGCAGGTGTTCGGTCTCATCACTGAGCCTGTTTATGAACAAATATTAATGCCCCCACTCTCATCTAATACCCACACTCTTCCACCCAGACACTCCTGCGAACTCATCCCGGTCCATAATTTTTTCTTTACTCCGACTTTAAAGCTTCCAGGTTTGTAAACGTGAGCCTCTGGGTCCTTTTTCACAGCACCCTTCACCCACCCCGGGGCTGAGCCACTCAGCAGGCCTGCCCCTATAAACAAACAGCCCCACGGCTCGCAGCTGGCCATCGCCTTGGCAACAGTGAATCTGGAAGAAGCCGTTCCCTTTTTTTTTTTTCATTTTTTTTTAAAGTGTGTCTTTGTGAAGGGCTTGCAGCGATGGAACCAGGGTACTTGAGGCGTCGACAATGCTGCCGGCTGAATGCTTATTTCATTTTCTGAACAAAAAATGCAAATGTGGTGCTCCCACTCCCTCCTCGCATGCGTCTCCCCGCTCCACTCTTCCAGAGCCCAGTGTGATTCGACGTTTGTAAAATCCTAATTTTATCATGGCAACTGATTCGTTCTGTGTGCAGGGCAGAAATGAAGGAGTTGGTGTGTTTTTTCTTTTTTTCTTTTTTTGGTTAAATTCTGTTTCTTTATTTTGTTTTTTTAATCTCTGGGGATTAAGCAGGCATCAGGCGGGTTAATTAGTATCCACGTTTAATGTCAAAGCCTTCTGCGTTTGGCTTTTAAACAGTCAAACTGAAGGATTCTCTCAGGTTTCATAAGAGTTTAACTCAGTGAAAGTCGCCCGTTGATGTGAATCTGACACATTTTATCATTTAAACTGAATCACAAAAGCACACCAAACACCACCTCCTCGCTGCTTAGTTGTACGTTGAGTTAAAGGCCTTCAGATGCAGCTCACTGAAGCTCCGTGCTTCTTAAAAAGATTTGAGCAGAACCACTCACAAGCACGTCTTTTGTTCCCTGCAGATTCCAGGCAGAACAGTCTGATGGGAGCGCCTCCCTCCTTCCACCAGCCCCAGTTTCCAAGGTGAGTGTGCTCTTTGTGAACCTGCATTAACTGGTTTTCGTGGGAAGTAAAGTTCACACTTAACATGCTAACTTTACCTGTGTCGATGGATACGAGTAGCTTTTTGTGGTGGTTTGTCCTGGACTTTGTCCTCCACTCGTCTCTAATGCTCCTCAGATTTGTGTGTTTTATTGGTGTGAGTCATGTGTGAATTAAACATGTCCAGGCCTGTGTGGTCTCCACATTTCCAGCCTTTCCGCTCTGCCTTCCCTCCGTTGGGGGGCTCCGTCCGAATTAAGATTTTTTCTTGTCGCTCTAAAACAAATTTCTCTCGAGGAGGTTTGTGCAACTTAATGAGGCATCACTAATGCTGTTGGCGACCGCGGCGTTTCCCTGCGCCTCGGCCTGGCCCGCACAGACTGGCTATTGATTCTGGCTCCAGACCTCTCCAAAGTCCTAATCAGGTTCTCTCGTTCAACTTTTCAGGCCTATTGTGGCTCCGTGTCACCTCAGGTCAGTAGTTATTAGCGGCGACTGAAAACAGTTTCTTTAACTACTCAGGACAGGACCAAATGAAATGCAGGAGGAACTTGGAGAGAGGGGATTATGGATTCCAGCGCTCGGTTAAGTCCGCCGCTGGCCAGAGTGTGACATGGTTCAGTAATGAGGGATGGGGCTGCCGCTCTGTTTCTGCTCTCTTCATTGTTCGTCAGAAGAGACTTTAATATCGCCGCTGGATCGGCACATTGTCCGGTGGTCGTTTGGAGGGCCGTGGCGTACTGGCTCTGCACTCGGTCCCGCGGACGCAGCGCGGCCGCCTCAATTCAGGAGTGAGGGCGACTCGGGCCATATGGGAATATGGTTCATTTCATGTGCGTCGATGCTAAGTCGTCTCTGAGGAGAGGCCGTTTTGACTCTTTGACAGCTCGATCCCTCGGTAAACTCGAGTCGATGGGGATTTTAAGGAGGCCACTTCAAAGCAGAATTGAAAACTGACTTTTTGGATCAGTCGGGTGGAAATTCTCCAAACATGAATTAATCTTAACTTCTTAAGTTTATGAAGTTGGTCAAAGCCAAATTATTTTTTTCTCCTTATTTTAATGAATAAAAGATTCAGACTGCTGCAAAGAATAAACAGGTTTTCCTTTTGTGGTTTTCATTTATTGCTTTAATCAAACAATGTGCAGATAAAACAGGTTCTCGATCAGTAAGTGAAAAATGGACTAAAATGTCCTGCTTCTCGTCTTTTTGTCTGCAGGTTCACACAAATACACGTTTACTAATAAAAGGTTTTAAACTGTTCAGAAGGTTTTGTCAGAATTTGAAGCCCACAGCGATGCTGCTTTTACTCCCTCCACACTTTTGTAAATTGTAAAGCCACTGCATCATTCAGCTATTTATGGAACAGGACGGCTCGGCGCTCTGATTCAGGAGGCCAAACCAGCAGGAAATTAGAGTCCGTGTTAACCCAGTGCACATACAGTGGTGACTGATTTTAGACTG